AGATGAGCCTGCTTCTGCCTTCCAGTTGTCTCCCAGGCCTGAATCCACCTACCAAGAGCAGGGTTCCTGAGGATTACTGTTGTGTGCCATTGTGTCCAGCTTCTGTCCTAGTAATTGCAATTCATTGCACATAAAATTTTGTTTTAGTGACTCAGACTCTAGGAATGTGATGAGATCACATCTACATACAGTTAGTTATTGAATACATACTGAACCTTGGAAATCTGAAACAGCCCTGAGACATTCACTGCATTAGGAAATTGTGGGCCTGCTTCAAGAGGAGCCATAGCCTTGCCTTTGGGCTTTCCTGGAGGGGTTGGAAATGTTTAAAATCCCTAAAAGAAACAAAAATGCTTTTATTCCCAAAATCTGTTACCACCCTACAATAAGCAATTGGTCTCTACTTGTTTGTTTAAATGTCCAGAGAATTCTGAGACTGTCTTAGCACAAACTGAAGTTGCAATGGTTAAAGCCATCATCGAATTAGAGAAAATTGGTTTGGGATATTTGGCATTCCATTTCTGGAATGTGCTCCTGCCATTTAAGTATGACTAAGCAGATAACTGTGGGATGGGGGAGTAGAGGGAGGAGGGATGCTGACTCCAGGGTGCCTTCCCTCTGGGGAAAGGCATTTTCTCCTAACAGATATTGGGCCTTTCCACTTGGAGCCTCCTACTGGCTATGAAAATTACAATGCTGTAAAGCTTGGTAGTTTTATAAATCAATAGAGTAAAAAATAGTGAAAGGGGCTACATAAGATTACCAACACAGACAATGTTATCATGACCCTTTCCTGAAAAAAAAAAAAATAGATACCCTCTTCAGTATAAAGGACAGTTCTTCAAGTGGAATAACAGAAAACCACCGTGCTTTCTCCATGTATTTTTAGTTGGTATTCAGGAGTCAGTGCACAAGCACCTTTCAGGGAAGGCTATGGGAAGCCAGATTCCCACTGACACATCAAAATGATGCAGAATTTATACATGTATTAGGGAGCAGTTTGTAAGTACAAGTTTCTTATCTTTTACACATATAACACAGGGTAATGGGGGTGGCTGGAGAAAGAGCACGTGCTATTCTTCCAGAGGCCCTGGGTTTAATTCCCAGCACCCACATGGTAGCTTACAATGGGCTATAACTGTAGTCCCATGGGATCTAATGCCTTCTTCTGGTGTGCAGAGATACACACAGACAAATCACCCATATACACAAAATAAATAAATATATTTTTAAAAAAAACTGAAACACACAGACAAAGAGAGAGAGTCAGAGACAGAGACAATACAGACAGACACAGAGACAGAGTGTTGAAGTAAGGTAATAAGCACCATGCAGTCTAGAGTATGCTGACTATACAATTTAGTTTCTTTTTTTATTCTGAGGTAATGGATTTTTTTATTATATTTTTTATTCATTTTATTATAAGTACACCCCACATGTCCCCAATGACCCTGAATTTCTGAGCGTAAGCACTGTGTTGTTCCTGGATTTCTATCTCTTATTTACAGAGCACATGGGCCCAGATACATTCATATTGGGTCACTACAGGGAAGATGTACCTTGAAACTGTAACTGCAACATTCCTTGTCAACTGAAATGTGTACTGAAGAGTTTACAGAGCTTTCTTTTCCTTAACTAGATAAATGTGGAGATGTCATTAATAGCCCATGTATTCACACCATAGACACTAAGGAAACAATCCAGAATACTAGATGAACAGATTATAAATGGATGAAGGTTTTACACCAGTGCCTCAGCATCAGATATTACCCATTGCTTGTGGGAGATGGCCTGCTCTTCTGTCTGAAATGGGGGCTCCAATGGGATATGAACACACTTTTTGGCACTTTCTTTTTCCTCCCCTCTAAAAGTACAACATACCTTCAAGGTGGTTGCAGATTCCTGAGAAGACATGTGCCCCCACCCCCTGAATTTTCCAAATGTTACTTAGAAAGCACTCTGTTTTATGGTATTAACAGATTCAGATCATTTGTTATGAGTTAACCCAAGCAGAGATGATTAGCTAAAGTTCCTGTTGTGTTTAGAAACACATAGATAACAATTGGGGATGGGAGTCTGTTGCTAGTTTCACTGTAGATTTACTCTGTAGCCTCAGAATGAGCAGAGGTTAGCAGGCTTTTTTGTTTTTGTAAGATGGTTATCTTTCTGTAGCCCAGGCTCCCTCCCAGAGTTCCCTCTGGGATTAAAAGCCTTGCAGGAGGCTTGAAAACTTCTATTTGAAATCACACTGTCAAATTACTTAGTTCTCTGAGCTCCAGCTCAGATGAGAGATAATATACATTCTTTACCTGAGGATTTAACCATGAATATTCCATGAAATAACACATAAAAATATGGTATATTGTTTCAACAATATACCACAATTTCCCATCTTGGCTCCATGAAAGTTCTTTCTTAGGCTGGCAAGATAGTGTAGGGGATAAAGGTGCTTACTGTGCAAACCTGATGATCAGGGATTAATCCCCTGAGCCCATGGTGTAAAGAGAAAAAGCTACCATCTCCACAAAGTTGTAGAGGTCCCCTGACCTCCACAGACATGTATCTGTATCAATGCATACAATATGTAATAAAATTAAGATCCCTCTCTTTGCCTTTCTGTCTGTCTGTTTCTCTCTCTCTCTCTCTTTCTTTCTCTCTCTCTCTCTCTCTCTCTCTCTCTCTCTCTCACACACACACACACACACACACATACACACACACACACACCTTAACCCTATAATAAAGTCTCATTATTTATTAGGTTAATTTCATTCTTAGTCACATCACATTGTTAGTAAACTTGCCATTAGGAATACTATGTGAATAAGGACCACAAGTGTCACTACAAGAGTTGCCCATTAATAGATATAAAATTTGTGGTTTAATAAGAGGCCACTGGTGACATTTTTAGGTTCTAAGGTATTTATGTATTTTTTCACACTCTTGATTTAGAGAAGTCTGAACTTGTTCCCCCCCCCAAAAAAAAACCTGATAAGTAATTATAACACTTTTCATCCTTAGGTAATGCATATATGAGGAAAAGGTAATATTGTAATTTCACCCTTAATTTAGGAATGAAGTGAGTACTGGTTTCATAGCTTATGGTTCCTTTAACTTCTGTTTCCTGGGATATTCCAGGAATATGTGGATGGCTTTGCACTGCCTGGTTGCCTAGGACTGTCTGAGAGCATAATTACATTTCCTAACTTGAAAGGCATGAAATGAGACATGGAATACATGTGAAGATGGTGAATTTTCTCAGACATTAAAATTACTAAATAATGACAAAAAACAGTGAAATAGCCAAAGAATATCATAAATATGAATATGACTCCTCCAGCCTGTACTCAAAGCCATTTCCCAGCTAACAGCAGCAGTTGCAGCAACCCTTCTGAAATCCCCACTCCCACCCAATGACACAGGCCTTCCCTGGCAATCTAATCCTGGCTTTTCTTGTTCTCATGCAACACTGGACAAATCAGTGCTCCTTTTTTCTGTCTCATCTGCAAATGGATGTTATAACAACACCTACTTCATTGGGGCATTTGTATGGATTTGATGAACCTGTAAAATATCAGACAGAGGTGAAACCCATACTATGTAAGAATTAAGCAATATTAATATTAGTATTGTTCTTCCAAAATTTAGTTTATGCATCTATTCAGGGTCGTCTATTGCTAGGACAGAGGGGTGAGTTTTCCTGACTCCAAAACTTTTATTTAGTTAAGAACAAAAACTGGAAAAAAGCCCACATTTTGAATAGTAGTGCCTATAGAGTCCATTAATTTCTGAAATGATCTGTATTTGCTGTTAATATGAATGAAATTTGCAGTGGGGTCAGAATGGGATAGTGTTTTTCATTCAGAGCCAGCAGTGAGACTGATGCCTGGCAGTCTGACTTGTGTGAGTGAGCAAGTTATTACAAATATAAACATTAGTCACTTAAATTTAAAAAAAAAAACTACACACACAGAGACAGACACACACACCAGGAGAACTGTATCATAGTCTTCCTAGCCAGGAGAGAGAAAGGGCAGACACATACTATACATTTGAGATCATAACACAATAAAACCCTTTTACATAGGGAAGCTATATTATGGAATATAGGGCAGATAAAGTATCAATGGTATTTAATTGTTGTTTGTTTGTTTTTTCTCTTTCCTTTTTCTAATTTTATTTGAAACAGAGTCTCACTATATAGTCCTGGTTGACCTTGGAACTCACTACATGGACCAGGCTGGTCTCATACTCAATAGACATCCACCTGCCTCTGCCTCCTGAGTTCTAGGGTTAAGGTGTGTGCCACCATGCCTAGCTCTTCACTAGATTTTGATGCCTGTTTTTCTTTAAATATTGTTCAAGTGATGGCATTAATTTTATTGTTGGCTGTTTTATTTTAGTCGCCTTTAAAAATCTGTAGTTAATGGGTACATGTGATAGTTCATAGACTAAGCTCCCAAATGACTACCTGGTTTTGTTTGTATTGCATGGAAATTTGTTTTATCAATTTTTTTAAAAGTCATCTCTTGGTATCAGGGTCCTTTCCCCCACCTCTGGTGTCATTTCTGATTTGCCACCTGATCTGTTGAGCTGGCTAGAGCTGTTTTTTGACAATCATTCTGAGTGAAATTCCCTCTTTGCTGTAAGAAAGGCTTTCTACACATAGGTGGGTCCTTAGCCCAGCAGCATCCACTTTTTTTAGAAATGCAGACACCCAAGCCTTCCTCCAGACTGGCTGGCTGAGAATATACATCTTAAGATTCCCAGGCTATTTGTGTGAACTTGCGAAGCCCCATTTAGCTAATCACCTTTGTGTTAATTTCTCTATTTAGAGATCTTCTCTACCTTATAAATTGTGTTTGCTGTGTTCTGGGTCATGTAGCATGTCAAAATATTTTGCCTTTACAGATAGATGTAGGACATAATTATAGCATTAGAAGTGTTTTGCTGTTTGTCAATATGTTTAATTGGTGAATATTTTCTTTTCTCTCCTCTAGGACATTCCTGGAGATTTTAGAAACATTTCTACCATGGAATCCATCTCTATGATGGGAAGCCCCAAGAGCCTGGAGACTTTTTTGCCTAATGGCATAAATGGTATCAAAGACGCAAGGAAGGTCACTGTAGGCGTGATAGGAAGTGGGGATTTTGCCAAGTCTCTTACCATTCGGCTTATTAGGTGTGGCTATCATGTGGTCATAGGAAGCAGAAATCCTAAATTTGCATCTGATTTTTTTCCTCATGTGGTGGATGTCACCCACCATGAAGATGCTTTAACAAAAACAAATATAATATTTGTGGCTATCCATAGAGAACACTACACCTCCCTATGGGACCTGAGACATCTGCTTGTGGGCAAAATCCTGATTGATGTGAGCAACAACATGAGGGTAAACCAGTACCCAGAATCCAATGCAGAGTATCTGGCCTCACTATTCCCGGATTCCTTGATTGTGAAAGGATTTAATGTTATCTCAGCTTGGGCACTTCAGTTAGGTCCCAAGGATGCCAGCCGCCAGGTATGCATGGCTTTAAATTTTATTATATGTCTGGTATTTTGTAACCAAGTAACCCAAGTTCAAATGCATTGAAATGATTGTTTGAAAACTATGTAAGATCATGTGAAGACTATATTCCAGCAACATAAAGGCATGTTTCTCTTCACATACACACAAAAAAATTGATGTGAAAGCTTCATAAAATGACATGTATTTTTCTGTAATTGTCAGTTAATTAAAGAAAGGGTGATGTTAGCTGGTGTGTCATAGGACACATTACATTAATCCTCCAGAATTAAGAGACAAAAATGTAACAAGTGTTTTCTCCTTCCCCCATCTTTTGCCCTTTCTGCCTTTGCTATAGCCACTTCGTGATGCATTATTCCATCCCTGAATGAAATAGAACTTTGCAGAACCCTAAGAATCCCTTAGAATAACCTTTGTGTTTTTCATAGATTAAGTGGGTTTTTTGTTTGTTTGTTTGTTTTTATTTGTTTTGTTTTGTTTTGTTTTGGTTTGGTTTGGTTTGGTTTTTTGAGACAGGGTTTCTCTGTATTGCTTTGGAGTCTGTCCTGGAACTCACTCTGTAGACCAGGCTGGCCTTGAACTCACAGAAATCTGCCTGCCTCTGCCTCCCGAGTGCTGGAATTAAAGGCATGCGCATAGATTAAGTTTTTATAGCATGTAAGCATGGATTTTAAGCCATGGGGCAGATAGGCAGAGGTAGACTGATTTCTCAGACTCACTGTCAGCACACAGGGCTATGGATCACACATCATCTAGTTCAGCTTGGGAAGGCAGCAGATGGTAGGTTCTGTTAATGCTTCCAGAATGAGGTAACTATAAGAAAACACATATGGAGACTACATTAAAAGCCCTTCAGAGGCATGCTTAGGTAGTGAATCTGAGGGTTCCTCATAGAGACAGTTGATTACAGGGCTGGAGTGATGGCTCAGCAGTTAAGAGTAGCTACCGTTCTTGCAGAGGACAGGAGTTTGGATATTAGCACCCACCCTGGGCAGCTCACAATTGCCTGTAGCTCCAACTGCAGGCCTCTGAGGGCACCTGCCCTCATGTGCACAGTTAATCCCATCCCTTATACAGTGATATTTCACATATCAGGGTTGTGAACTCTGTACTGAGTGCTTGCCGTCACTGCGACACAAGCCCCTGGATTTAGGGGAGAAGGATTTACCTTGTTCAGTTTCAGAGGCTTTGTCTCATCATGATTGGGAAAAGTGATGGAACAGAGCCATTCATGTCCCAGAGGGCAGAATGCAGAGACAGGGCAAAGCCACCATCCTGCTGGCTTTCTCCTTTCTCTTCATTTATATATCCAGGACCCCAGCCTATGGCATGGTTGGCCCACCTTCAGGGTGAGCCTTTTCCTTCCTGGTTAGTTCTCACTAGAAATGCCCTCAGACACGTCCCAAAGTGTGCCTCGCCTTTCCTTGGGTGATTTCAAATTCAAGCATATTGACAAGACTAGCTGTCACTGTAACCACTCACCTCAGGTCTGTCCTTCTCTCTCCTTGTCCCCTTCTTGCTTTCAGTTTTTTGAGACAGTCTCATACCTTAGTCCACGTTGGCCTCCACCTTGTGGCGTCTCCCAAAGACTGGGATTACAGGCATCAGCCACCACACCCTGCTCAAGTATTTCAAACAGTGCACACTTTCCCTACCTCTCTGTTAGAGATCAGCCCAGAGCCTGATCAGGCTAGGCAAGTGCCTGCTCGCGGGTCACACTCCAGCTGCTAGAGAAGGTTCTTCCTTCCTTTTCAAGAAAACATATCTCATAAAATTGGCAAATTTGAGGCAGGGCCTATTCGACAAAGTTGACATAATCCCTTCCTCAGATTCATGATCATTTTAGTTTTTAGTGGAATAAAGCTTCATGGGACAGTGATTAAATTCAAATTCAAAATGAGCTACAAGACCCATCATGACAAGAGCCATATAATTGGTACTTCATCATGCTTGAATGATGAACATTCAGTGGTAGTGAATGTTTCACTTATAGCTCTAGATTTATTGTTATCATTTATAGACTTTTCTCCAAATAATAAAAAAGGGTTTGCTCCACCATTTCACACCTGCAATAAATTAATATGAATGCTTTACTTATTTCTTTGCTATAAAAATTTCTAAGTTTAGAAATCTGTATTTGTTTAACAGTACAGAGTTTATCATTCATAAAGCTGGCTACCATCAGTTCAGAGTCAAAGCCTGAAAGCTGAACTCTGTATTGCCACCTTCACATAAATAGATTTAACACACAAACACTTCAGTGTGGCCTCTTCAGAGCTTGTGTACAAATGTCTTCAGGGATTTATTTGGAAATTTGTTTTCCTCAAACAGCACTAGAGACTTTGTACTGTTTTTCTTTAAACTGAGTGAGATGATCTGCCTATTCATAGCAGTAGCTCACTCCAGCAGTAAACTTGTAGTTCAACAGACACTTGTTGAATTTTTGACTTTATTATTGTTCCTTATCCTACCTATGACATCATTATGCTCCTCTGGAAATGATGACCGTACCTATGCCATCATTAGACTTACTATAGAGATGATATGTTTAGTCTTAGAAAAATGACAGTTCCATTCTATTTAAGTTAACAGCCTTATAGAATCATAATTTTACTTGTGAAGAATATATCAAAAAGTGAAAGCAATTTTATATGTTCGCCAATGAAACAGTGTACTTGGAGTTATTCAAGTGTTTTACAGATACTTAATGAATTTGCCTCTAAACCTAAAAGTAAATTTTATAATGAGTCTGGCATCATGATACAGTTTGTACATTTTACTTGAGAAGGCTACCACTGCCCATTTGCACTCTTTCTGGGATAGCTCTGAAGGGCAGTACTTTCTGTCACTCTCCTCAGCAGGGTCTCTACTTTGTTCCAACTGAAAGTTGGTCATAGAAGCAAGGAGATCCAGCCTCAACCCTAGAAAACTGGGTTTGGAGGATATGGCCACTTAGACCTCTGGGGAGGGAAGGATGTGCCTTCCCTTGCAGCTGCTGCTGACCTGGGTTCCCTAGGAAGCATACCTTCTCTTCTGGCAGCCTCCCTCTCCTGAGAACTTCTCTGAGCCTTCCTAGTTGCAGCTAGATTCTCTTCCCTTTCTTTTTTTTTTTTTTTTTTTTTTTTTTTCATCAAAGGGGGAAAAGACATTTTAGTTTTCATTGCACTATTTTAAGTCTGTTTTTTAAGATACTAATAAATCTAATCATAATGCGATACTTTTGACTGATTAATGCATTATTAAGGTACTATTCTAAACTATTAACAGTACCTATGGTAGTATTTAATTTAAGTCTGTTTAATAATTTACAGTTAATAATAATTTTCCCCCATCTTCATTCACTGACATCACTCGAAGTCATTAAACAGTGCACCATAGATTCAGTACAGTTTGTGATTAGTCATTGGATTTTATGAACAGCCATGGTAATGAGCCTGTTTGTTTTTCTTACAGGTTTATATATGCAGCAACAATATCCAAGCTCGACAACAGGTTATTGAACTTGCCCGTCAGTTGAATTTTATTCCTGTTGACTTGGGATCCTTATCATCAGCCAAGGAGATTGAAAATTTACCCTTGCGACTATTTACTCTCTGGAGAGGGCCAGTGGTAGTAGCCATAAGCTTGGCCATATTTTTCTTTCTCTATTCCTTTGTCAGAGATGTGATACATCCATATGCCAGAAACCAGCAGAGTGACTTTTACAAGATTCCTATTGAGATTGTGAACAAGACCTTGCCTATAGTTGGTATTACTTTGCTGTCCCTGGTATACTTGGCAGGCCTCTTGGCAGCTGCGTATCAGCTTTATTATGGCACCAAGTACCGCAAATTCCCACCTTGGTTGGATACCTGGTTACAGTGCAGGAAACAGCTGGGATTGCTGGGCTTTTTCTTTGCTGTTGTCCATGTTGCCTACAGTCTCTGCTTACCGATGAGAAGGTCAGAAAGATACTTGTTTCTCAACATGGCTTATCAGCAGGTACTGAACACTCTTGTTATTCATCTGGTTCTAGTGGCATAGTAGGAACTATAAAAATCTGACTTAAAATAGTATTTATGTACATTTCACAACAGCATTTTTCTTTTTTGGCATATTTAGGGAACAGAAGTACGGATTTTACTTTTTTGAGACAGTCTCTCTCGGCATATGCTTTGTGGGAATTGTTTCATTTGAGACAGGGTTTCAGCTATATAGCCCTCACTGGCCTGGAACATGCAACATAAGCCAGGCTGGCCTTGAACTCACAGAGAACAGCATGTCTCTGCCTCTTGAGTGCTAGGATTAAAGGAATAAACCACCACACCTAGTGGCCAGGAATTTGGCTAGAGTTTTTTCAACATAGCAGCCCAAGGGCTCTTTGGAGATATTGGTAGGAGTGGCATAAATAAATAAATAAGTGTGTGTGTGTGTGTGTGTGTGTGTGTGTGTACACAAAGTAAAAATGGTATTGAAAATATACTTTTTCCACCAGTAGATACACATTTAAATCAAAGTTTCAGCTGAAGAGGTCCAACTCTTAATTTATGCTCTAATTATATTGTTTGTAGATAAATAGATAAGATTGCCATAAACTCACAGTTAAGTCAGACGTGACTAGTATGCATTAGTAATATAAGGGAAGGATTTGTAGAAAAATGCTGCAAATGAATTGAAACAGTTGGGAATTTGGAAGGTATATTAGTAAGGTCATTCAAGTGGACAGATATTTCAGCTTATCCTGAGGAAATTTTGGTTTCCAGGAAAGAAAGGTTAAGAAGAAAGAGGCATTGACACAGGTAGGGTGGCTTACAAGCCTGAGTTAAACTTAGTAGAGCATACCCCAAACATTCAGCCACTTTTATACAAGCCTGTAGAAGGACCCCAGAGTTGAGTCTGACCACAAATGCTTCTTCTCTGTCTCTTGAGAACCAGTCAGTTGAGATCCATAATCTTGGACTTAGGGCCTCTACAATAGTGACTCATTGTGATCATAATGGCATATGCTTGTCCCCCTCTTTACATGCTAGAAAAGGAGGGGGTCTTAGTCCCCTTTTCTCCACATCTGGAATAATGCTACAAACTGGTTCTCTATGGTGGTTCATTATGCTGAATTAATTAATATGTAATTAAGACTATTAATCTTAAATATTATAAGTGGCCCGGTTCTTTGTAGACCAACAGTAAACGGTGTGTAGAATCAGTTAATGTTCTATGAAGTAAAGGAAATTCTCATTTGTTTTTCTTGTTAGGTTCATGCAAATATTGAAAATGCATGGAATGAGGAAGAGGTTTGGAGAATCGAAATGTACATCTCCTTTGGCATCATGAGCCTGGGCTTACTGTCGCTGCTGGCAGTCACTTCAATCCCTTCCGTGAGCAATGCTTTAAACTGGAGGGAATTCAGCTTTATTCAGGTATGTGGGGGATTTTTGGTAACACATCATACAGCAAAGAATTTCATTGTTAAGTTCAGTGTTAAATATGCTCCATCTAAAAAGAATGCCTTTGAAGCCATTGTTACACATCCAATTCATGGCTGAAGGCCAGATTTCAACCATTCTGGTTAGTAAAGGAAAGGCCAGTGCATCATGGCATTAGAAGGCAACCATAGCAATGTCTGTTATATTATGGAATAAAAGGGGAGATGTGGACTTAGGTCAAATTAGATGTTAAAAGTTGAATTACTTGTTTTTTTAAATTTAGTTTTATGATCATTTTGCTCATGTGTTTCTGTGTGCGCGCCACATACATGTCTGGTGCTCACAGAGGTCAGAAGAAGGTGTCAGATCTGCTGGAACTGGAGTTTTGGACCAGTTGTAAGCCACCATATGGGTGTTTAAATCAAACTAGGTCTCTGAGTCATCTATCCAGCCCCAAAAAGACAATTTTATTATTTGTCAAATGAACTCACATGCACACACAATAATAAGCACTGTCAAACTAAGTCACTATGCTAATGGTTTGTGACAACCAACTGCATCTGCATCCAACTGCATTTCTTTCTTTCTTTTCTTTCTTTCTTTCTTTCTTTCTTTCTTTTTTTTTTTTTTTTTTTTTTTTTTTTTTGGTTTTTCGTAGCTTTGGAGCCTGTCCCCTGGAACTAGCTCTGTAGACCAGGCTGGCCTCGAACTCACAGAAATCCACCTGCCTCTCATTCCCCGGTGCTGGGATTAAAGCCTTGTGCCACCAATGCCTGACTTTTTTTTGTAAATCTTGTTAATGTGTTTTATTTACTAGGTCAATCTTAAATTAATGCACAAGAGTATCTGTAAAGAAATTCAGAGAACACTCGTGTTCTTTAAAAAGTTAAATGTTTACCTACATTAATATCTGTATAATGTATTCACATAATTTAAATATGTATAAAATTTGGATTCTAGTTATATGGTCACAATCTGTACTTTCTGATCCAAATGGTATATAGCATAATATATACAATATTAATAGTAGAGCCTTTTGATAATATACTGTTTTAGTCTTTGCCTACTGATATTTTGGGGTTTTTGTTTGTTTTTGTTTTCTGGAGGAGCAGGGAGGTGTAATGACAGGGTTTCTCTATGTGGTATTGGTTGTCCTGGAACTGGCTCTGTAGACCAGGATGACCTGAAACTCAGAGAGATTCGCCTGCCTCTCCCTCCCCAGTGCTGGGATTAAAGGTGTATACCATCATGCTTGGCTGCTTGGGGAAATTTAATATATGTTTTTATATAGTCTTTGAAATACATGAATATAATGCATTCACTCCCTGCTACTTCTCCTCCAACTTCCCTCCATCCACCTCCTTCAAACTCACCTCTTTTTAAAAGTCATGCAAAAAATGTAATTAAGGACAATCCTTGTCTAAATTTATCTTCTCCCTCTGAAGAAAGGAGAATGAGAATGCTTTCCCAACTGCTACTTCATCGCACCAGAAAGGAAATAGAAGGCTTTCTGGTAGAAGGTTCCAGGCAGACAACCATCATCATAAAGTTAGACAACTAATTGCAAGCGCCTTGCCTTGCCTTCTAGAGAGCTGACATTTTCCTAGTGGACTTAGACATTGCATCACTATACCGATGTACTATTCCTTTTGCATAATATAAACTAGTTGCCAAAGTGAGTAACCTTAAACATAGTAATTCAGAGAACTTAAAACATGAACCTTTTAACCTATAAAATGGCCAGCTATGGCATTTTTAGCCATCTCACATATTAGGGTCCGTAACCACATTTGAATTGTTACTTATATTACACATTAATACTCTCATTTGTTGAGACAGAGTCTCACTACATAGCCCAGGCTGGCCTCAGACTCAGATGTGAATCATGATGCTTTGAATATGCAGTTCTCTTTCTTGTCCTTACTAGTACTGGAATCACAGCCATATAAAGCATACAGGTGCCATGCATATCTATACCATTAGAGAAAAGCTGGATGTTCTGATCAATAATCCAGCAGTAGAATCAGTCCTAAGGGCATAAATCTAAATATAAAAGCTCTGAAGTGGTATTATTTATAGTTGAATAAATTTGCCACCAGAATGATCAACACAAAGGAGTGATTAATACACAGCCATTTAATAAAATGTTACACAATATTAATGATATGCTTTCATTTTTAATGGCATGGAAAATGCTTGTGTTACACTAAATTAACTAATGAGACTATTTATTCAGTTTATGCAATCTGACCTGATATATGCAAATAATTGTATGTCTTAAATAGCTTCATTCAGATGATAGTATCACTTACAGAATAAAGTGTAAGCAGGGTATCTGCATGGGCTGTTCTGTGGGTAAGTCACATGTTTCTTTTTCTTCCTCTGTCTCAAGTCTACGCTTGGCTACGTGGCACTGCTCATAAGTACTTTCCACGTGTTAATTTATGGATGGAAACGCGCTTTTGCAGAAGAGTACTACCGCTTTTATACACCGCCCAACTTCGTCCTTGCACTTGTTTTGCCCTCAATTGTAATTCTGGGTAAGATGATTTTACTCCTCCCATGCATAAGCCGAAAGCTGAAAAGAATTAAAAAGGGCTGGGAAAAGAGCCAGTTTCTAGAAGAAAGCCTGGGAGGGACCGTTCCTCATCTGTCCCCAGAGAGGGTCACAGTGATGTGATAAAAAGGGGTGCTTGCTCACTGATGCCAGACACACTTCCGTCCATGTCCATCTCGTTACCTCTCCGCCCACATCTCCTGGAAGTGGAGTGTCTGTCAATCTTCTGTAGTGTGAAACCAGGCCCTGAAGTTTCAGCTGAAACCATGATAGCATTTTCTTCAAGTTAAGTCTTATAAATGTCATATTTTGCCAACATGGAATTTTGCAGCCCACATGTCTTGTTATAATCTAGGAGTATTTTCTTGTGTGTAACTGTAACAGTACTGTCATTTTAACTATATTACATAATCAGGCAGCACTTTTTGTAGCTGATAATGTAGAATGTTTAGAACACTTGGCAAAACAGCAGAATTGGAAGCTTTTAATGTTACTCAGTGGATAGATGTTTTCCCTGAGGCTAAGGATTTTAATTATTTTACCCAGTTTAAGAAAGGGAAATGAATAATTAATATTATTGAGGAGGGACACGTCATATTAGCACCTAGACTGCACAGGAGCAATCTTCTGCTTTCATAAAATGGGACTGGAAAATGCCATTAATTATACAAAGCAGTGTGAGTGTGAGCACACACAAATGAAAGAGGAACCTGAAATTGTATTTAAAATGCACTGGAGACATGAAATGAATACTGCTAATGCACAACTCATGAGAGCTCTATTGTCTTATGTTACAGATCAGTTTCATTTTCATATTAATATCAATCAGGGAAAGAGCTTAGGGACTTGCTCTCTCAAGCTGTTATTTTGAATATAGTACCAACCCCAGGAGTTGTAGAACTGCCCTTAATTGCAGTGAAAGTGTCAGGTTTGCGCATGTCAGTTTGTATTTGTTGCTTTGATCAGTTACCACTCTCCCTGAGCAGGATTTTACTGATGTCCACTGAGGGAATGTGGCATGGTTGTAAACACTTGTCCCATTTAATATTTACAACAAACCTTGAAACTGAAGGATAGAAAAGATAAATTTTCCTAAGGTCACACAGTGAATAGGCGGCAGAGTGAGCAGTCACGGCCAAGTAGTCATCTTTCAGAATCCATTGTTTTGTTAAACATCAGGATGTACAGCCCACCCCATCTCCACACACTGCATTCACAATGCCAATCTACATGTTTCCTCTCTTGCATATACATGGACAGTCTTTAGAGTATGCTGTGTGCTTCAAAGGATGTACAGAAGTATCCTAATCATAATTTTATTATTGCTGAAAACACACAATAGCACATCGTTTCCCTGTGCAGTGAAGGACTGAGCGGGGAGAGGGTCATAGCAGTGTGGGCGAACTGTTGAGATCCTGCAGCTCGTCAGAAATTCCCATCATGTGGCCATGTCCTTTGCTCTTCCTGGAAAACTCTCCTGCCTTCACTACCATTCGTTAGGAAGCAGTTTGTAAGAATGGAGGATAATAGCACACATGGCTAATTATAAATCTACTCCAGAGACATATAATCATATAGACTATCCAAAAAACTTTCTCAGTGCTGGTATTCCATGTGTAAATTGCATTTTGTTCAAACTTTGGGATATACTACATTTTTTTTCCATTTGTTCTTTACTTATCATAGTACAAAGTTATAGATGGGATGTAATTATATGTATTCTTCCTAAAACTGTATCATTTCTAAAGTTACCTACTGACTTGAATCCAACCATCAAAAATAAAATGACTCTTATTTTTGTGGAGCCTACCTTCCCCACTAGTGTCTCTTTTTCTATCCCTGCATTATTGTTAGTCTGGGAAATCACCCACTACTCTTCGATGATTTCTTGGTGAACTGTAACATTGAACACCCCATTTTAATTATATTAATCATGATCATTAATTCTTAGTAGGAATCCAGTATAGTGATGGCTTTTAACAGTAAATGCCTACAAGCTGATGGCCCATGTCTTTAATCTGAGCACTCAGGAGGGAGATGCAGGTGGATCTCCGGGAGTTTGAGACCAGGCCTATCTACAGAGTAAGTTTCAGGACAGCTAGAGCCACACTGAAATTGTGTCTAAGTAAATACACACATACACACACACACACTGATACTGTCATGAACTAATGAAAATAGCAATGCATTTTCAATCTTGCTTACTTCCTTAAACTTCACTCTTAGACAATTTAATGTGAAAATACAATGAGATATTTCTGAAAGTTACATGATTAAAATACATCTTATATATGTTAGGTAGCCCATAATATAAAGTCACTGCCATTATACATACAGGAGGCCTTTGAAAGTATAAAATTAGATAAAAGTTACAAATATCTTTCAAATGACACCTTTTCTTTGGAATGCTATGAAAATGAAATTTTAGTTTTATAATAAATGTATTATAGTCATTACAGTTCTAAATGTTGAAAGGCCCCTCTCACAATGCATATCTATTTATTCACTTTTGGTTGCTTAATTTGCTGCTTCTGTAATTTTTCTTTTCATTAATTTTCTCTTTGTCTTTAAAGGCATTTTTCTGGCCTCAGAAGTAGATTGAAATTTGTTGTCAAATGTGAGAAGGTGGCGGTAGGAATTTACCATTCAAAGAGTAGGACTAGATATGTCTCAGTGGCTAAGGCACCTATGGACAGACCTGATGAGCTGAGTCTGGTCCCTGGGATGACTGGGGTCAGGCTACTGACTCCTACAAGCTGTCCTCTGACATGACATGTACTCTCATGTTCTCTCCTCCCTCTCTCTGTCTCTGTCTATCTCTTTCTCTCACACACATACCAAGTAAATGAAATATAATTAAAATCTTTAGAGGTGCAGGGAGGGTAGGGAAGGTCTTAAAGAGGAGTAAACTGTGTTTACTAATTTATGTTTTGAGAAGTATGAGTGAGAAATAGGAATGTAGAAAACATAATCTGTCTTAAACCCTTTGTAAAGACAGCCAAATAATTTTTCCTATGAGGAAAAAACTCATATAACATGTATCATGCTACTTAGCTTTTATGCAGATTTCATGTTTCCTTTATTAGGAATATTTAAAACCACATTTAAATATAAATGTATTCACATTAACATCTGATTTAAGACAATGCATTAAAATTTGCTCAGATAATCTGCATGAGATTTTTACTTAAAATTTAAAACATAAATTATGTATACATTATGATTATTTATCAGAGACAATTATTTTGCATAATACAGAGGGCTGGTGGGTTCATGATAAACTACTTGATTATTTTTTTATAAATTACCATAACTTCAAGTTGACTGAAGAATTTGACTTTCAAAATTAATTTGATAATGAAAAACATATGTTCCTACTTAAGTCAAATTATGAAAATTATTTTTAACAGGATCCAAGAATATTCAAGAATGTATTCAGTGTGATTAACATAGTGAACTCAAGGACTAGAGACCCTGTCTTAAAAAAGAATCTCTCTCCCTCTTTCTAGCTCTCTCTCTATATATATATTCAACTTTTTCTATTATCTATCTCTTATGTAATATGACAAAAGTCTTAATTTAAATTTTTATGTCATTAAGCTATTAGTAATATATTCTATAGTGTTCCCTCCCAAAATGAGATTTATTTATAAAATAAATATGCCACGTGGCATTTAACATATAAGTACTATAAATGTATTCATAACAATACTGTAAACAACAAATTATACTTGTATCAGTCCATAAAATCCTGCCTTTGAAATATGCAAGCAGAATAAAATAGAAATTGTTTTGTAAATTCATGACAAAGCAACGTCACATGTAGTATAACGTACCTCAGTCCACTGCTACCATTCTGTGTGATGTCAGGAAAATGAGGCAGTAAGACAAATTCTGGCATGTAGTCAGTCTTTGTAATTACCTAGAATGAAAATGTAGCAACTTTAGTGGCAATATTCTTCTGAGAGTCACAGAGTGAACAGATTCTTCAATACTTTTGAGTGTGACAAAATCATTATGAAATTAATGTTTAGGGGTTCTAGCCATGTGGTACTAAAACAGTGTTTCTGTTTAGCGTACTAAAACAGTATTTCTGTTTAGCCTAACAGGCATACTAAGAATTGTTGGGTTTTTTAGCTTTACAAATCACTAAATTTCCATTGTGCACAGATACACAATGAAGGCAGACCAGGAATCTTCCCAGTAGCTTAGAGATACTCCTGGTGACCAGATGAGGTAACTCACAAAGCAGGTGCTTTATTCGAGTTCCAAATTGTCAACTTGCAGGAATTATTCTCACTGATCTCCTTCTGAGGCTTTTCTCAGTCAGAGCAGGTGTTCAGCCTTCACAGCTGTCTCCTTTCCTGGGCTGCTAAGGACTGCTGTTCACACCTTATGAATCAGGGTGTTCTTGTGACTGATCTCAATGACTGACTGAGAGGTGTCCCTTCGATGTGCTGGCCTCTGAGGACTACTCCAAGGAAAGGAAAATGGCATGTGTTTTTTATGGGTCATTCCATCTGGCTAATGAGGCTGTGGATAAACAGCTGTCCCCAGAGGGTCAAAGCAACACTCAGAGGCAGAATGGAGGCCACTAGAAAAGAGACAACTCCCTGCTCCTTACTGTGTTTAAACAATTGTAACTTTGAGTTTCTGTGTTCTCTGAAATCTAAATTTAACCCTTTCCAGTTCTTTGTCACAATATTAATTTAGCATTTTTGAGTAGGTTAGACTAATAATTCTTTTAAAAGATTTTAAAGGATAATATACAATTTGTGTTACAATTAATATTCTATTGTTAATTATTCTTGTTTTCTGTATTTATATTTCATTAACTATTTCGTATTGGCTTGTATGATTTTCTTTGTATACATTTTTTGTGTGTATTCATGTTTGCTAAAGGTCTGTGTCCTGTAAAACACTGTTAACAAATTGCATACCATGATTCTATGCCATTATCCCAGATCTGCCTTATAAACATTTTAATAAAAAGTATTATTTAATGTTTTATTTTCTTTTTTAAAATATTATTGAGTAATTTGAATATTTGGTGGAATTCATCTAATATATTTGTCTTTGTTTTTAACTTTTAAAATTTATTCTTTGTGTTTCACATCATGCTTCCCGATTTCCCAGTCCCATCCATCTCCCTCTCCCTGCCAAAATAAAACAAAATAAAATTTAAGAGGGGGAAAAAAGGAAGAAGGGGGTAATCCTAACATGGAAGTTGCAGTGTGACACAGTGAGTAACACACTAAGCCCCTTTAATCATACTGTTTGTTTGTTTGTTTTTTGCTTTTATTTTTTTCAAGCAGGTTTCTAATGCATTGCCTTGGAGGCTGTCCTGGCACTTTCACTGAAGATTAGGCTGGACTCGAACTCAGAGACTCATCTGCCTCTGCCTCCTAAGTGCTGGGATTAAAGGCCTTCGCCACCAACTCCCGGCTTTAATGATGATTTTTTTACATGCAGGCATTTATCCCAAAGAATCATCGGTATGGTTAGCGGCCACTCACTGGTCTCTGCTTCATCATCTACACCAGGCTCTTTTGGAGCCATTGCTGCCCTGTGTTCTGGAGATCCTGCAGTACAGGATCCACATGACCTACACTCTCCCACCTATGCACCGGTACTCTAGAAGATCACACATGGGGTAGATACTGGAGTGGGCCAACCCATTACCCGGGTTGTGAGCCTGTTTAGTTGCAAGGTTGGTTAACCCGCCAGATCTCCCCTGTCCTCACCACCAGGGTGCGCTCTCCAGCATTGCCCTGTCTAATTCACCCCTTGCAGTGATAAGAAACTGGCAGAATCAGTTCTTCCACACCTACACCTTCAGGGCCAGCTGTGTTGCCCAGGCAAGGTGTAGGGGCCACTCTCCCAAGTGCTGCAGCTGATGAGCAGAAACAGCTCTCCTCTTAAGACCTCAGG